CGCCCCGCCCCAAGGCGATAAATCCGGCACGTCCCGGAGCTTAAATATTGATCGGTGGAACGCCCCACCACGAGCCCCTCGCCCCTCCTCGTCCAGGGGGTAGGAGTGGGGGGAGGTACCGCGACTTCGGGGAAGGGTACCGCTGCGCAGGGGGTACCGCCGGGGGTAGGAAGGGCGAGCTGCCCGGGGCGCGGCATCGCAGCGGCGTGCAGCGGACCGGAGGGGAGGGGTCTCTTTTGGCGTCGGCGGTATCCGGGGATGATGGGGGAGTGCGAGTGTATGAGGACGTATACCCGTCAGTGTACTCATACACACCAATTCTCCCCACCACATTTTCACGACAGTGTTATTTCGGGCAGAAAATGTCGATAAAATTCGTCCCACGATGGAGGAAGGGGGGGGGGGTTGATGTAGCACTTTGTGTGCACAACGATGGACGCGACCGACCGGCGGCGCGGTGACGCGGACAGCGCCGATAGGCGCGTGCTTGTGCCTGTGAGAGGGGGGAAGGGGCTGGAGGGAATGCAAGAGTGAGCGTGCAGGTGGAGAGGATAGGAGAGCGGGCAGCGGAGAAACAGAGTGACGAGGACGGAATGGAGTGTAGACAGAGAGAGACAGAGGGGCCGGGGAGGTAGGTGGAAGGGCTGTAGGCAAGGTCGTGGTGTGGGGCTGCATGGGCGCCCGCCCTGTCCATCCCTCTTCTTCTCCAAAATCGTGTGGCGTCACCTCAACGCCCAGCCCACCCCCCTCTCCGCCTCTCTCTCTCTGCCCCCTATCTCTCTCTGCTCTGCCCCCGTTCCCCCCTCTTCCTCTCCTCTCTGTCCCCCTTCTTGCAACTCGCTGGGAGTTGCTGCAGGGGGCAACGCCCTCATGCGGCACAGCAGGGCCGGGGGGGGGGGGTACCCGGGGACGGGTATCCTACGGACAGCAGTGGGTGGTGGTGAGGGTAAAAGGGGAGGGGGGGGCAAAAGAAGGCAGGGGAAAGGGGGGCGCACCGCCGGCTCCTTCGTCAAGCCCATGGCCGTGCCGAGCCGAGCCAGACGATTTGCACAGCCCAGTGGTGAGGTAGGACCGGGTAGGACCCGGGTTAGGACCCGACCCAAGTTATTAGGATCCGGGTATAGGATCCAAGCAGGACCCGGGTAGGACTCGGGCCTATACGACCCGGGCTAATGTTGCGTGGCACGATGGGGCCCCGGGCGGGGTGTCAGAACGGGTGGGCAAGAAGAGGCTCTAGTGGAAGTGGAGGCAGATGAAGAGGAGGAGGAGGAGGACAGGGGGGAGTAGAGGCGGCTCTCGGGGGTCATCGCTCCCAGCAGGAGCGGGGCGAGCCTCTCCAGCCCACCGCGCCGGCACCGGGTACCCCTCGCGGCCGCGGCGCAGGCGCGGCGGCACGCGCACAATAGCGCCCCGCCCCGCACTCCACGCCCCACCCCGCTGGCCTCAGGCCTCAGGATGCTCACTTCAGCACAAGGCGGGGTTGCAAGTTTGGAAGCCCTAATGGAAGCCCAGGACGTCTCTACAGTACTACATTTGGCGCAGTAACTATCACCAATCACTTTCTTGAGTGACACAATAACTGAATTGAGAAAATGTGAAAGGGTGTATTATGCCAATGAAAATGCCATTACCCTTTCAATCAAACTGCTGTCTTCTAACCGTAACTTGTGCCAACATGCATGCCTTTCTTTTCAGCATAGAAATATTGGAGAAAC